AATGACATCTTTGTAATTTTAATTGCAGAGAGGTAAAGAATAGTATTCCAGGGCAAGGGAGGGAGAAGGGGAGGTTCACCGAATTGGACAGGGCAGAGTGCCAGGAAAGGAAGAGGAATGGGAATGGGAAAGACAATAGAATGAATGGGACATAACTTTCCTGTGTTCACATATGAATACATGACCAGTGTAACTCCACATCATGTACAAGATGGAATAAGTTACTTACTTACACAAAAATGGAAACTTATACTCCTTGTATATACAATATGTCAAAATACATTCTACTGTCATGTATAACTAAAAAACCAATTTAAAAAATTTTAATATAGTGCAAAAAATAAAAAAGAATAGTTTCCCATGTTGGCAGGGGTGTGGACTGTTTGTCTTGGTGTAGCAAGTGTGGAGTCTTCTTGCTCTTGGTATGACAACACATTAGTAAAAACCTTTCTAGCAGGCATTCTGTGATTTGTTTCCAAAGTTAAAAGGTGGTTAATTAAAATCATTTTAACCAACATTCTAGGAATTTTTCCTACAGAAGTACAGATGRTCCCCAACTTACTATGGTTCAGCTTAATGATTTTCCAGCTTTACAATGATGCAAAAGCAATACACATTCAGGGGAAACCACATTTCAAATCTTGATCTTTTTCAGGATAGCAATATGTGGTACAATACTCTCAAGATGGTGGGAGGGACTAGGGAAGAATAGAAGTTCATTGGATTAGACAAAGGGGAATGAAGGGAAGGAAGGATGGGAATAGGAAAAAGAATGAACTGGACATAATTTTCCTATGTTCATATATGAATGCAAGACCAGTGAAATTCTACATCATGTACAACCACAAGAATGGGAGCTCAATTAGAATAAGTTATATTTATTCCATGTATGTATAATATGTCAAGATACACTTTACTGTCACGTATATCTAAAAAGAACAAATTTTAAAAGTTGAGGAAAAAAARATGTTGGGCAATGAAAGCTGTCACAAGCCACAGCTCCCAGTCAGTCATGTGATCAGGAGAATTAGCAAACAATGTGCTACAAGTATTCAATATTGCCAGCATTTTGGTGGACATAGGTATTCAATAAATTACACGAGATAGTCAATAGAGATAGTCAATATTATAAATAGGTTTTGTGTTAGGAAATCTTACCAAACTATGGACTAATGTAACTGTTCTGAGCATATTTAAGGTAGGCTAGGCTAAACTACGATGTTCGGTGGGTAAGAAATGTTAAATGCAGTTTTGACTTAATATTTTCAACTTATGGGGCTGGGGATATAGCTCAGTTAGTAGAGTGCTTGCCTAGCATACACAAGGCCCTGGGTTCTAATCCCCAGCACCATATTAAAAATATATATATCTGAACAGATCTCTCTCTCTCCCCCCCCCCTTCTCCCTCTCTCCCTCTCTCTCTCCCTCTCCCTCTCCCTCTCTCCCTCCTCCCTCCTCCCCTTGCTTTCCCTCTCTCTCCTTCATGCAATGCCTGAGTCTCTTTCCTCCACCACCACATTCTTCCACCATGATATTCTGCCTCACCTTGAGCCCTGAGGAATGGAGCCAGCCTTCTATGGACTGAGACCTCTGAAACCATGAGCCCTCAACTTATGGTGGTTTTTTTTTTCAGGACATAATCCCATTGTGAGTTGAAAACATCTGTAATCAAAAAGTGTGCAGRTGGGGCTGGGGTTGTGGGTCAGTGGTAGAGCACTTGCCTAGCATGTGTGAGGCACTGGGTTCAATCCTCAGMACCACATAAAAATAAGTAAATAAAAGTAATTGTGTCCATCTACAACAAAAGAAAAAAAAAGTGTTCAGGTGTATGTACGTGTTTGTGAGCTGCAGTATTGTTTACCACCTGAATGTCCAGGTGTTGGTGGGGACTGGATTGCCAGTCCTTGCTGTCCTCCCTCCCCAGCTATAGGTCATCTTACCACTCTTTCCAAATAGAGCAAGGGGTCATAGGTGGGTCGCATCCAGAGAAGGGAGGCTTTGGGATCACCCAAGCTTAGAATAAGAGAGCAAAACTGGACTTTGTTCCTATATGGGCCAGATAAGTGAATCAGGGCCATGAAAAACGGTGGGTGAACATTAAAGTACCTCATTTTCTAGAGATTCTGGTCTTGGAGTGTCTTCAGAAGGGAAGGGCAGAGCTTGTCCATGCAGATGGTAGCTGGCTGCTCTCTTTAGGTCACAGGAACCTGATTACATTCTTGTCTCCAAGGCTAGGTGAGAGCTGGGGAGCTGAGCACGCAGGAATCGGGGGCTTCCTTTTAAAGGCCCTGCTTGACARTTTGATATGTGACCAGACCATGGGAGACTGCAGCTTTCCCCCACCAGTAGAACCTTTAGGTGTCTCTCTACTTGACCCAAGGCCAGAGGGTGAAATGGGCCATGAATAGCCAAGAGAAAAATAGTGATGTACCTGATAGTACACTTAGGGGCAGGGGAAGAAGAAACAACTTTCCAGAGAACTCCTGATGAAACAGAACTTCTAGAGGAGAGAGGTGGCAGCTCTGCCTAGACTTCACAACTGGATGAAATTCAGTTGTAGCAAAACTTTCAGTTCAATAGATTAACTGAAGGAGAAGATGATCATTACAAAGCTAGTAATCTGTTGGATTAAGAATTAGAATACAGCAGTGCAAAACCAAGAAGGCAGAGACTTGGAGGATGGATTAGAACTACGCTCCCTATGATTAGATTGTTCCTGAAACAATCCCCATGACCAGGAGATGCCCCTTGCCCTCTCTTGCTTAGGCCAGGGTCATCTGAACTGTCACCAAGCCAAGGGAGAAAGGGTTGATCTTAATTGATTAAACCAGTGAGGGACCACTTTGAAACAGTGTGGGGCCAAGGCCACTCAGTGGGAGAGAGTGGAATATTTTCTTAGTAGCAACAAATGGTGCCCAAGTTGTCCTGAGGATAATTGAGATCTTGTTTAAACACAAGGCTTGGCACATAGGAAGCCCTGGAGAAATTGTAATCATTTTCTCATTTGGGTTTAAAAAGAGTGTTCTCAAAGTTTGGATGTATATGCCAAGTTCGTCTTATAGTGCAATACACAGAGCCCTGAAAATAACAGAATGTCCTCACTGTGCAATCACCTAGGGCATGCTTCTCAAATTTTAACATGCTTACCATTCTTCACCTGGGGATCCTTTCGAATGCCAGTGCCTGAGCTAAATGCCCTTGGATTCAGTTGATCTGGATGAAGCCTGAGGTTCACAGTTTTAACAAATTCTAGGTCAGATTCTGAACCACAGCCCAGGCTGGGGTGCAAGGACCCAGGTCGGGTTTTGCCTCTCCTGTGTAACTGAAAGGGTTTACTACTGTTTCCATGTCCTAGCAAATGGGAGAGTGGAGAGTAGGCAGTTTTCTTTTCCTAACCCACCTTTTTACTTTGAAAATTTCAATATTCCTGAATATCTAAAAGAATAACATAACCACCTATGCACCCTTCACCTACCTTCACCAGTTAACATTTCAGCAATGGCCTTTTAAGGATGTGACACAGAAGTTGCCTACCTCACTTTCCCTCTTGGTCCAGTAAAAACTTTACAACAGAGCCCGCCCTTGCTGCAAGGAAGACTAAGTACAAGCTTATCTTGACAATGATTTGGCCTGCTGTAAGGAGTGAGATTTTATCACTACAAGAAGATACSACAGCCCAGTGTGGTGGTACTTGCCCGTAATCCCAGTAACTGGGGAGACTCAGGCAGGGGGATCTCAAGTCCAAGACCAGCTTCAGCAACTTACAGAGACCCTGTCTCAGAATTTAAAAACCAAAAGGGCTTGGGGTGTAGCTCAGTGGTAAAGAAGTGCCCCTGGGTTCAATCCCCAATATCAAAAAAAGAAAAAAAGCAAAAAACTAGATATGACAGATTAGAATTCCTTCGGATTTCTTTTCTGAAAGAGGAAGAAGTATGGGACAATGGATTCCAGGGAATACTTTCCTAAACACTGGTTAGATGAATCTTGTAACCAATTGTCTTTTCATATTGGATTCTGAAAAGCTTGCAGCTAAAAGTGCGGCACATGTTTAAAAAGTAGGACTTAATAATGTGCATTTTATTACATGCCCACCCTCATTTTCCCTTTATTTTGCCATATTTGTGTGAATCTTATAATCAATCTTAGTTTTTGTAACATGATTAACTAGAAATAATTCAACAATAATACACACTAAATATAATCGGATGCTCAAAATGTCTTAAAGGGGTCCAAGCACTAACCACACCTGCTGCTAACAACAGCATATTTGTGGTGCTTAAAATGTAAGTCTACAGAGTTCTAAATAGTAGTATATAGATCTTCGTCTGGCCAAGTGATTTTCCAGCCTTTTGAAAAAGAATCTTACAGAAACTGTTACAAAAAGAAAACACAGGTTGCTATAAGGAGATCAAGATTCCGCTAGCTACTACATGGACAATAGACTTAACTATTCACTCTTGATCTAGTTAAGCCAAGTTACCTTTAAAACTTTAAAATCTTTGGGAACATTTTCCATCTCGAAATGTTTAAAGAATAGTTTTAACATTTCTAAGTACATTTTTACAGTATTGTGGGCAAAAAAGTGTTTGCGATGACTTAAATCTCTTGGATAGTAATTAGATCCTTTGAGGTTATTCATTTCAACGCCTGGCCGTACGCAGCTTCTTGCTCCATCCTTTGGGTATGTGGAGCTCTGTCGTTATTTGAAAGCAAGGTATGCGTTCCCGTAAAGTCTTTGCTCAGCACGTATCCCCTAACACCAAGCTCTGGGTGAATTCCTCGATGAACCGCCGCAACCTGAGGCCACCTCCCGTCTGCTACTGGAAGCCACGACTTGCCGGAGGGCGCCGGCGCCGGGCTCCGCCCTACGCGCTTGCAGTTCACCACCACCGCTCCTCCACCCCGCMGGCTTCTGGGGGACCTGCCCGCTCCCAAGATGGCGGCGCTGGCRTCAGGGGGCGGTGCCGCGCGGGGCGGTGTCCAATCGGCTTCSGGGCTGCGGCGCGGCCGGGCGCGGGAGGCGGAAGTGCCGCGGGCCGCCGCCTCCGTCCCGGCTGCGGCCCCTGCCGGTTACATAACTCGTTGCGGGCCCCGCGCGGTCTCAAGTCCGGCTCCCTGAGCCCCCAGGATGCGCTGAGCCCCGCGACGCCCTCAGCTGCCACCGGCTCCCGCCCGAGGTGAGGCGGCCGGCTCTGGCCTGCAAAGTGGAGGACGGGAGGCGGCTGCGGGCCGGGCCTGTAGGAGGCTGGGTTCTGGGGGCCAGCGCTTCCTCGTTGCTCGAGCGTCCAGCCCGCGGGCCGGTTCCAGTGGCGGCGAGAATTTGCGCCGGCCCAGAAGCGGGCGAGGGTTGCGGGTGGCCAGCCTTCGCCTGGGGTCATTTCCGCGCCGGGCCCCAGGGCGAGTTGTCGCGGAATTTGAGAACTAAGAGGCGGTGCGCGGAGTCCCGCCCCCGGGGTCTTGGAGGCGGAGGGTCTGCCCGCGCGGCCCTCGCTTCTGGGTACTTGTTGCGCCGGGCTGATTGTTGGCAGACTTGTTGGCCCTCCGGTGGGCTCCTGAAAGCCCAGGGCTCTGCCTTGGTCCCCTCGTGACTTCCCTTCCCAGCCGTAGTTTTAACACCAAGACAAATGCTCGCCTTCCGGGGAGCTTACGGACCCGCSGTGCAGACCCTCCACCACCTCTACAAATTGGGCACTTGCCAGGGAGATGAGGGGATCTGTACCTTGTGTGATTTGCCCCCTGACAAAATTGAGGGAAAGCTGTGGGCCTTCTGTGAACCTCCGACAAATAGCTGTGCCCTGCCTGGAGGTGAGACAAGGAGGTACTCTGCAATAAACATGAACTTTGGCTGCTTCCTTGATCTCTGTTCCCTTTGCCAAGTCCTTGAGCTGGGTGAGCTTTTGTGCCACTCTTGTCACTCATTGGTCCTGAAAGAAAAGAGTAACAGCCCAACAGAGTGACACTCCATGATGTACCAAATCCCTGGAGAGGTGGTTTCCTGTTACAGAGATTTTCCCTTCTATCAAAACATCTAAGACATAAAACCCCTAGATGACGCATATCTGTCGGAGCAGGGCAAGCCATGTGGCTCAAAATGCAAATCTTGTATGACACTGTGAAGTCCAGGGAAGTTGTAGAAGTTCTGTGGTGGTATTTCTGACTGGACAGGTCACCTTCAGTATTGTTGAGTTAAAAGGGGCCCTGAGCAAAAACAGGTGTAGATACTCATGTGTGTGCATACATCAGTGAATTGGCCTAAGCTATAGAAGAGCAGATGGGAAAATCAAGGGCTATCTTTCCAGACCAACAGATTGATCACAACAGGGAACATAGGTCTTCATCCTCCTCTTGTAGAATTTTGTACCCATCAGAAATAAGGTGCAAATCAGTCCTCTAAGATTGTGGCATTCRTGGACCCCTCCACTGGGCTGTGGTTTGCTGGAATTTCATCTCACAGAGCTAGCAGATGTGCTAGATTTGTGTTGCAAAGTCAGGCATGATCTGGTGTCAACATGCCAACATAAAGCATTGTTTTTTTTCTTTCTTTTTTTTTTTTTAGGTCTGTATGTGTCCTATCTTTAGCCTCTCCCAGTTGTAATTTGAAGTGACTTTATCACCCCATTTGTTTTAACCACACCCACGCACAGCGTGGGGAGTAACTAAAGATGTGACTTGTCCAAGTTGCTTAGCAACAGCATGCTTCTGACTGGAATGGAAGAAAATTCCTGGATGTTAGGAGATTTGAAAATAGAAGATAGACCTGAAGCAAGACCAGGAAGGGTGCTGGTGTTCATGACTTGGAGGTCACAGTGCGCTGATGACTTGGTGCCTCAGTGTACCTCTTAGCAACATTGTGGCATCTGGCAGCCTAAGAATTGTTTAGATCACATAGATATAGAATCCTTACCTTGCAGTCACAGGACACACATGTAAACAAAGTCTTCARAACAGTTCAGAGCAGTGACTGTCTTTGCTTGACCAAAATGGGCCAGAGGTCCCACTTCTTGGTAACAGCTCTCCCCATTGAGTTGAATGTGGCTGCTTATCAGGCATGTCTTCTCTTAAATGGTGACTGCTGATCTACATTTGATATCCATTATTGCCTCATCATCCCCTGCAAGGAACTCACAAAACCCTCATGGTGGTTTTGACACCTGTGTTTCTCCTTTGCAGAAAGCAAGGCTGGGGTGTGGACTCTGTACTGAAGTGTATGTTGCTGGAACTGCTTTCAAGCCACATGCTGGTCTGCAAAGTGAAGCTGGAAATGCTGGCTCTTTTAGGCTAAGTTCAAATGCTGTGATTCAGAAAGGGTTGTATATGCCTTGGTATTCCAGAGTTGGGCCTCCTTCCCTGCAGTCACTCTTTTCAGCATGGCCTCTGGTAAGAGCTAGCAGAGCAAGCAGTTCAGGGCCTGTCAGGAGCCCAGCAATCACATTGTTGATTTTAAAATGTCCTGTATGTTTGACCCAGACACACACGAAAGAGTTCATACTCTGCTGGGCACAGCAGAGTATGTGAAGTGCTTGTGAAGAAGGGGTCTGAATGTGGAGCCAAGGCTTTCTGCAGGAAGTGGTTTGGGGTCCAGGTCAGTGTCGAGCGGTGGTGCTTAATGCAGCTGGAATGCCCCAGTGTGGAAGCTGGCAGGAGAACGACAGTCACCCTGAGGTAGCCACAGCTCTGAGCCAGGGGAGAGACATCAAATGAGGATCAGCTCCCTCATGTCTCTTTACCTCAGTCAGGATCTATGTGGCCAGGAGGAGCCAAACATACCAAAAATGATGGTAAAAGCAATCATGAGTGTGACAGCGTAGATATTTCAAATGTCTCTTCAAATTATAAGGAGAATGACTACTTATTTTGCCCTAAAATAGACTTTCAGTTCTGGCTTTTAAATCTGGTGCCCTTGGAATAGCATGGCATTTGGGGCACTGATGCCAGAAATAAACATTCTAAACACAGATTCAAAGTTCCAGCAAAGTAAAGATGTGGTCTTGGATAGGAACACGTAACAAATGTTGGAGAAAGTCCTTGTTCCTTTTACTTTTATAGAAAGACAAAAGAAAGATATTCTGTCATCTTTAGCAAAGCACATTTAAAAAAATTCTTCCAGCTCTATTTTTTGTGATATAATTATTGTTATTAAAATCAATGAAGTTCTTCTTTTTTGTTTATTCCTGAAGTAGGTTCCATTAGGCAGCAAAGTATTGACATTTGAGCCCGGCTTGAAAATAACTGTTAGAAGAAAGCAATACCACTTTATAAAACAGCAGGTAGGTAGTATTTCCTTAAGTACTGAAAAGGACTCTTCTGGAAAATTTTGATGCAGCACTATTTCCATCATTCCCTTGGCATTCATGGATTGCCCTTAGATACTTTTCCCATGCTTGTTTCTCTGGAAGGTGCTTATTCCACTGCCCTTGTAACCTGTTTGGGGATGATTCACTCCTGTTTTTTTTGTAGCATTCAGCACATCTCGCCAGTCAGACATTTGCTGCTCCTCTTTTACCCAGAGTTTCAGATTACTTTGCTTACCCTCAGGACACCCCATATAGCCTTTTATTAAAGTCTGCATGCAGAAAAGGGCACTGTCTCCCCAGGCAGCATGGCTTAGACACACCTGTGCAGCCTGCAGGCCCCTCACCAGGCAAGACCTTGCCTGTATCAAAAATGTTTTTCTCATACAAACCACAAGAAATCTGTGACTATTATTATTTTGGGGGATGAGTACAAAATTCTTTATTGTTGCTTATGAATTATTTTTWAAAATATTTATTTTTTTGTTGTAGTTGGAYACAGTACCTTTATTTCACTTATTTGTTTTTATGTGGTGCTGAGGATCAAACCCAGGGCCTTTCACATGTGAGGCGAGMGCTCTACGGCTAAACCACAACCCCAGCCCTTGCTTATAAATTATTAACTTTACTATGAACACAGATTAATTTTACACTTTTATACTTTAAAAATGAAAGGTTCCATTCTCCAAAAATAAGCCCTTTTGGAAATGGTTGTCTTAAAACGTCAAAATAATTTTTCCAATTGGATTTCGAATAGCCACTAGAGTTGCTTTTCCGAGGTCACAGGGACCCTGCTTGGCCACCCTATCTACAGGCTCCTCTACAACTTGCAGTCTTGTTGAGAACTTTTATTTATGGCACCAGTATCCCAAGTGCCATGAAAGTCAGTGCTTAGTCTGTCCAGATCAGGGCACAGGGTTTAAAAATCAGTGCTTAGTTTATTTTAGTATGATAGGTACTAGTTCTACTCATAATTTGAAGAGATGCTGTAAAATTTCCCAGTCACTACTAATTTTAAATATCCTATATGACTATTTTAACAAACGATCTAAAAGTATTTATTTATTTATTTGATGATAAAAACAACCCAAGATTGTTGCAGAAAACTAAGAGGGAAATGAGTGATAAGACACAAACATCTGCCATGATTCCAGAGACAAATTCAGACAGGAGTTTGAGTTCCTTCTGAATATCATTTTAGTTAGAAAAGTTAACCTCAGCTAACTATAACTGAGGTTATAGCTCAGTTGTAGAGTTCTTGAGTAGCATGCATGAGGCCCTGGGTTTGATTCCTCAAMACCCAAAAGGAAAAAGAAAAAAATKATCAGAATCAAATAGTAATTTATGCCAAATCTGACCTAATTTCATATTTAACATGTATTTGATTCTGCAGGATCTTAAATGCAAACCCAGAAATGGAAATATTAAAAAAGAGAAAGAGAGAGAGAAAGAAAGAAGGAARGAAGGAAGGAAGGAGAGAAAGAAAGAAGGAAGGAAGGAGAGAGAGAGAAAGAAAGAAAAGAAAGGAAGGAAAGAAAGAAAAAGAAAGAAAGAAAAACCACAATAACCCCCAGTAGAAATCGCAGCAAAAGAAGCAAAGTGTGATGGGCCCCAGCCCCCTGCGCCTTGTTTTCTATGCCAGGAACGTGAAGCTTTCAGGCGACTTAGCCATGGGGTCTGGTTTTGGCTCCATACTTTCTGGCCCCCAGTCGCCCATTCTCTTCCTCCTGGGTCTTGTTCTCTCTGGTCTTCCTCTTTGTCTTTGTCATTCTGCAGTTCTGATGCTGACTGAGGGGGCATCAAAGGTGAATCATCATTCCTCCAATCTGACTTTAGGGCACAGTCTGGCCCTAAACTTAACTAGTGGAGACCCAGAGTGACTGGGG